GACAACACTGAGAAAAATCAGTTAAAGGTCCTTGACTTATACTCTGGGAAACACTTTTACCCCAGTAAAGTGATCAAAAACTATTTTGTAATATCCAAGAGCATCCTTTTTGTCCTCTCCATACACCCCCTAAGCCCCATGGAGTTCTTGCTTTCTTTGGAAAAGACACAAAAGACAATGAAGAGAAGAAAAGAATATTTCTTTTAGAATGGAGTTTATTTTGTTGCATCATATAGGAATTAAGTTGGAGGCAGGACACTGTACTCTGTCCTCATGAGATGGACTCTGAGGACACAGGTGCTCCAGGGACCCCCAATACAGATGGACGGCTACTCAGTGGTGCTGTGGGCCAGAGCATGAGCCACAGCACTTGTCAGCTTCTGCCAGGCAGCCTGCATGTGGGGGTAGAGTCATTGCCTGAGTGCGTTGCCAGGACGATCAGTATCATGTTGCCTAGGAGCTGGGGAGGGAAGCAGAGATAAAGAGATGTGTATAACTAATATAAAATCTCAAGATGGGATGTCTTAACAGACAACACCCATTTCCTTCCCGATGAGACTATGAGATCTCATCAGGGTCGTGCTCCACAAAGGGGCAACCCTGTGGATGTCACACGGACTTCCATGGGATCTGCGCCTTGTGTCTCCCACTGCAGTCCATCCTCTTGTCTGCCCTGCTGACTAGTGACTCCACATCACCATTTAGGATTGTTTTCACTTTGTCTTTTTAAAAAGCAAGACTACAGCGCTGCCAGGGGTGTGAAGGGATAGTATGCATCCCTGGTCATTACATGGGTATTACATGGGTACAATTTTTCAGAACACCCATGTGAAAAAACAAACAAACAAACAAACAAGGCACACAGGACCTTGTGCTGCGTGCATAAGGCAGTTGTCATTGCTGCAGTCAACTTCTTTCAAAACTGTTTCCTTATGGATTATGCTCAGTGAAATAAGCCAGAAGGAAAAAGAAAAATATTGGATGGTTTCACTTATAAGAGGGATACAGGGGAATCAAATAAGGGATCAGGAAAAAAAATAATTATAATAAATAAAAAAATTATAAATCAGAGACATTCTGCAGGGGAGGGTGAAGGAGGGTGATCAAAACAGGAGGGAAGAGACGAGGGACTGTGGTGATGGTGCACAGGTGAATTGGTGGTGGGAATTTTACGGGGACTACACCTGAGAGGAGAAAGCATACAAGCATACATTGTACAAAAATGAACAATTATGTAAAAAATATGTAAATTTTCAGTTACCAAAGACAAGAGGATTTCTCCCTACCAGAAGCTGCGTTCTTTAGTACAAAGCACTTAGTTCAGTTTTGGTAAGCATTCTTCAAAGATAGAATTTTCAGAAATATCAAATGCAAGTGACCTTCCACTGCCCTTGATTATATTTCTTCCTAATCGTATCTATATCATTTGCAGCAACCTAACTCTGTAAATCAGTCCTATCATTAAAATAGCATCTCCTACATCTAACCCCTATTTTGCAAGAGGGGTTTTTATTTTCAAAAGAAGCCATGGAGAAAATACCTAGGGTTAAAGAACAAAAAGCACAAACACATCCAGCTCTCATGCTGAAGTTCTCAGGACCCACAGTGCAGCTCACTCAGCTTGGCAAAGGCACCCTTAAAGTCATCCATGTGCTGAACAGCATCTCCAAAAGAGGTCAGCACCTTCTTGCCATGAGCCTTGACCTTGGGGTTGCCCATTATTGCAGAGACTGAAGACAAACTGCTAAAATTGCCAAAAAAACTTCTGGGTCCAGGTGTAGACACCGGGAGCCTGCGGGATGATCACAGTCACAGAGCAGACGGAGTGTCAAGACTATGTAAGAAACCTGACCACCTCCTCTTTCAGGAACCTGCCCTTCTGCCCCCTGCCTTGGCCTCCAGACCCACCTTCCCAGGATTTCTCCTCCAGCCAACTCCACATTCACCTTGGCCACAGACTAGCAGTAGCAGCCTTTTCCTCAGCAGCAACATGCCTGTACCCCAGTTCTTGTATAAATAAAAAGAAATCTTAAAAATATACTCTTTAAAAAAAAAAATAAATCTCTCTAGCCAACCTCAAAAGGAAGCAGGACAGGAAGGAACTAGGTAATAGGGCAGAATTGCATGTTACCTAGTGTTTTTAATTCTTTTAATCGTGTAGTTATCTGTCCAAAAGATAACATGGAGTCTGGAAGATGTCTGGTGGCCACTGATGCACCAGCCGCAATCCTGTGCCTCTTTTCCTTGAGGTGCTCTCTCATCCCACATCTTTGGCCCCAGATCCTTGCTTCTCCCAATGAAATGAGACTGTTGGTGAAGGGTGGAATGCCACCAGCAGGGGAGGGGCTCGGTTAGGGAGGATCAGCAAGATGGACATTTGTGGCTCTGATAGTATTGAGTGGCCCCCTCAGAGAGACTCTGCCATTCAATTTCATGCTGTTTCTTCCTATAGCTCACCTTTCCCTTTCCATCTAGCCAGCAATTCATATCTCAGTGTCCCTACCACCACTATCTTGAAATGATTGAAGGCTGATGATAAGGCATGGATGAGAACTGAGTTATAAACGGATGAGACATTGGGTTAAGAGCTGTGACAATATATCATTCTGTTATTCAGTAAGTCTTTGTATAGAAGAAGCTACAGCCATTTTTTGGCTGCCAGTTCTCTTAAGATGACATTGGGTGCACAATTCAACACTTTTTAAAGTATAATAAATACCTCTAGGGCCTCCCCGGTGGCACGGCGGGTTGAGCGCAGCGCTGTGAAGCTGTCTGCAGCCTCTGTAGCATGGGTTCAATTCCTGGCCGGCCAGGGAGATTCCCACATGGTGCCACAGAACTCTTCTGTCTCTCCCACTGCTCCCCTCAGCAGTGTCTTCAGGCCGTCTGCCTGTTCTGCTCCCCACTGTCTGTGGTGAATCCTCTCACCCTCCTGTGCCTCTGGCCTATACCACAATTCTTGTATAAATAAAAATAAGTCTTAAAAAAATACTCTAAAAAAATAATAAATACCTCTAGCCAACCTCAAAAGGAAGCAGGACAGGAAGGAACTAAGTAATAGGGCAGAATTGCATGTTACCTAGTGTTTTTAATTCTTTTAATAGTCAGTGTAGTTATCTGTCCAAAAGATAACATTGGACAACAGTCTGACAGATTCCACGCATTTATGAATTTGCTCATGTATTTTGTTGTCTATTGACAATGACCTATCCTTTCATCATTTACAGATCTGAGTCATTTAGACTTGCATGTATGAGTGTGTATGTGCAGGTGTGTGTTAATTATGAAGTTGTTACAGACTGTTTTCAGTTAAGTTGTTTTGAACTGGAAAAATCTAAATCCCTAAGGAAAAATGAAAGTAAATTATGCCCACAACTTCATCATCACCATGCTTTACTTCTTGACATTCAGAGTCAGAATAACTGTTGAAGGGCAAAAAAGAGGGAAAATGTTCTCTTATTTGTTCATTGACTGACTCACTGACTGACTAGGTTAAAAAAAAAAAATGTATTGTATAGTGCTATGAATAACTTCTACTTACTCTGTTTAGTGGAATAATGAGAGACCATGCAGCTCAAAGACCAGTGCTGTTGACAGTCTGCAACTATGATAATCACTGGTTTCTCACTGGTGTTATGGAGACATAAGGTCAAATTAGAAAGTTTTCATAACAAATTGCAATCAATGTGTGGGATAATAAAATGCATAATAGAATTAAGTTGTCAAGCTAATGACACTCTAACTTGTAGTGTGAAGGGCTCAAGTCTTGAGGGGAGACTGACAGATGACCTAAAGGTCAAGTGTCCCTGAGCACCCTAGCTATAGCTCCTTCAAGTGTGGTTTTGTAAATTCATTTCTACACAAGTTTCACCAGCTTAGTGTCTGGACTCTTCTTGTTAAATTGACCCAGACTGGGATCTTTCAGTCACCTACTCCCATCTCATTTCTTCCTTCCCACCCACCCCAACCAATCAGATACCATGTCTTCCTCTCCTTACTCATCTTTTACCTTTTGCAAGTCTCATTGCAACCAGATCATTGTGTCTGTTTTATTGAATTAGCATCTGCATCTAGTCATTTTGTATGTATGACTTTCCCCTCAAATCTTATTCCTTGAATTATTTAAAGTTCTAAGAATATGTATTGTTTACTCTTGCCAAAAGCATAGTGATAGCTTTTATGTTTATATTCAAGGCCTTGCATTATCTAGTCTTTCATAATATTCTGCTTATGTCTTATACTACTGCTTTGAAAGAGTCATTTTCATGACTGTCACTAAGTCTTAGCTTACTGGTTTTAGATTACGAACTTTTGTTGGTATCTTATCTCCCACCTGATGTCTTGGTCATTCTCCCCACAAAAATTCTCTCAATGTCCTAATTTTAACTTTAGCTTAATGCATGTTACTCTCAATCAGAAGATAAAGCACAATGATTCATTGGCTTCCCAGTGAGACAATTGAAACTTTCTGGAAAGAGCAGACTATTGTTGGTTCATGGAGACTTTTTATTGGAAATCTTTCAGCCATCCTTCAACTTATCCCCTTATTTCCAACTCAGTCTCACAAGGCATCTGACAAGTTATCTTCAAAATGCACAATAGTTGAAGTTAAAATAATAACCCTAGCCTAGACCTTGGATTCCTACAAAGATTTTTACTATTTTTAAGTGAACTCTGTCATGCACCACAAATCTACACTTCCCTACCCCCACCCTGCCCATCCCAGCACTGCTTACCACCAACTGTGTTCCCCTCTGAAGCCACTTTTTGTCACTTTTCTCTGTAAGCTCCTGCCCCCTTCAATAACTAACCCTTTCCCTACCTAAGAAAAATGTTCTTTTCATCTTGGCATCTTCCTAGACCATTGAGAGTCCTCCCATAATGTCTACATTCCTTTGATGAATCCCTACATGCTTCTCAAAGGAACTCTTGTTTCTGCAAATGTCTGCCTCACCCTCATCCAATAAACCTGTCCTCCTTTAACTCAAGGGTAAAAGATGAAGAAAAAACAATATCAATTTCTGATTACTGAATAGAATGCACTTTATTAAACAGACTCTTCACTGCCAAGGTCAAACCCCAGTCCCCATGTACAGAAGGAGGTCATTGGGGACACAAAGGGACCCTGGTGAATTGGAAAGAAGACTCAGTGGTACTTGTGGGCCAGAGCCGTGGCAACCCCAGACACCAACTTCTGCCAAGCAGCCTGCACCTCAGGGGTGAAATCTTTGCCAAAATGAGAAGCCAGAACAATCACCATCACATTGCCCAGGAGCTGTTAGATGAAAGACAGAGGGACAAATAGACATGTTCAGTAGAAATTTCCAAAAAGAATTGCAGAAAAAATGACTGAACACCTATATTCCTTGCGTTAAACTGCTATAAGTGTTGTACTTATCTAATTACTCAAACGAGTTAGTACCTGAATTCAATTTAATTTTTTAAGTACTTCATTTAATATTGTGCCTGCCATCCTCTCTCCCATTTCACCATCTTTGTTTGCTTCTCACCCTCCCTCTCTCATTAACAAATTGAAAAATGGATTTCTGAGCTGCACAGATTCTTAGAATGAGTTTAGTTAAAGTCTCAATGCAGAAACAGCCCTCTACTTGGTCACCATACTGACTAGTAATTGAACATATTTGAGAGAAGTTGCATTTGCGACAATCTGTCTAAAAATACCCACCATGTCCCTTCCTAAACATCAGTCATTGGTAACCACGTACAATAAAACATGTACCCTTTCTTGAGATAGATATTCATCTATCAAAAGTCAAATTTCATTAGAAAAAAAAGAGAAATTCTTGAATAGTGAATAATTCTTGAATAATTCTGCTATGCTCTGATACAATACTCTAAAGTAGACATATATCTTTCAAAAGTTCCTTAAAAGTTTTAAATCGACTCAAGCTGTGAGTCTATTTAAGCATTTAATTGTCACTAGTCCTGCATCAAGGTGGTTTTGGTCATGTACCCTTGAACTTTGCCTAGAAATCAACCCATGATTTCTGAGATCTTTGTTAGTTCTTAAAATGAAAGACTAAACTTCAATCACTATTCCAGAGTAAAAAAGCAAAAAAAAAAAAAAAAAAAAAAAACATGAACATTTTCTGACTCACCCTGAAGTTCTCAGGATCCACATGCAGCTTGTCACAGTGCAGCTCACTTAGCTTAGCAAAGGCACCCTTGAGGTTATCTATGTTCTTCACAGCGTCTCCAAAGGCGGTCAGCACCTTCTTGCCATGGGCCTTGACTTTGGGATTGCCCATTATGGCAGAGGCAGAGGACAGGTTGCCAAAGGTGTCAAAGAATCTCTGGGTCCAGGGATAGACAACCAGGAGCCTACGAGATAGGACCACAGCAGATGGAAAATCAGAGTCTCAAAAACCTTGAGGATTTTCCTGGTCAATTTGCTAGACTCATATTTACCATCCTCTCCTGTGCACTGAAACCCAGTTCCTACCTGCCAAGAGCCTCGCCACCAGCATCTTCCACATTCACTTTGCCCCAGAGGCCAGTGATAATAGCCTTCTCCTCGCTAGTGAAATGCACCATGATGTCAAGTCTGGGAGCTTGCCAGCGATCGACCGCAGAGGTGCGAGAAGCAAGTGGATACTGCTGCTGGAAGTTGTGGCCTTTTATTCTCTGCTGCTGAACTTCTGAGCCCTCGGCCCCCCTGGAACTTTGAAGTCATTGGTCAAAGCTGAGCTGTGTCCTTCAGGGGTGGAGTCAGGCCAGGAAATGGTCAGCAGGGAGGGACACTCTCTGAGTTTGTGATAACGAGTTAGTTCCTGAGACATCATTCCATTGTTAGCTCCTCCACGATCCTCAACACAATTTCCCATTCATTTCCCCCTTTTCATCTTCCACGATAACATCCCCCTCTTGCATTCTCTTTCTCCAGGGAAATCCTATAGGAACTATCCCCTAGAGAGGGAAAAAGTTCTGATAGAAACAGTGCTAAGGGGGCCTTGTTGCCCCAGCCAGATAAGACACCTAGCAGCTAAGAAAAAGGGCCTCACAACGTGGGGCCGAAGCTAAAGGGCCTCACACTGTGGGGCTGAAGATTTAACATCACTTTGTTTTTTGTTCTTGGTCATAAAGAGAGAAAAATTTCTCAAAAAGTACATTAGGCAATAAATTACATGTATCAGTATACTGCAAGTAAATGGCATGGAAAATTATCTGTTTGGAAAATTATCTGTTTATAAAATTAGTTATTAAACAATTTGGCCCACTTGACAATGGGAGACAATTTATTGTACATATCTGACAAGCAATCCAGCACAACTATTATAGTAAATCCTTCTTTTGCTTTTTTGGAAGTTTCCTTTTATTTAGGAAGTTTCTTAGGAAAGTTTTTAAATGAAGTTAACCGTGTTAAGGAGTTTCTAGGTAGAAAAAGTTCTGATAGCTGAGTAGCAGCTGGTCTCCAGCTGAAGGCCATATGAATAGAAGAGTCTTTTGATGCTTAGGCTTTAGCTGATAGGAGTGTACTGGTGGCTATCAACCGTCTTGGGTAATTGTCTAGCTGAAATAATAAGTTTCATTGTAAGGCTTAGTTTTTTATCTATGAACCTTGAAGGCTACCGTCTAGCTGGGACCCGTAGGAGCCAGTAGTCCATGGGAACAAAATACACTAATTGTTTCTGCTTTACACATGATGATGTATTTTTTCTGCTTGCTAAAAATGAATAAATAAAGACCTGCTAAGTCTCTCGGCAGAAGATACTTGCACCTCGTCCAGTGTCAGTGTCTCCTCACTACCTCATCTCCTTCCCCTCAGCCCCTTTCGCTTCACCTAGGCTGTCTCCTCCTTTCAGGGACTCCTGACACGACATTTTGCCGAAAGCTGGTCTCTGGCAAAACAGTTTTATTGTTTAGATTGAGAATGGTGACAGGGACAAGAAGAGGGCCAAGGAAACAATGCACAATTGCTGACACAGAATTTCAGCCTCTAGAACTCAGTTTCCAAAGGAGACAAATTAAGTGCGCGGTTACCTCAGGAAGTCAAACATAGTAACAAGAGATCTACAAAGGGCCAAGACTCCAGCAGCAAACTACAGTAGCCTGGGGCTATTTCACAGGGGGGGCAGAGAATAAACTTCACTCTGTGCTACCAGGGAACCCTCTCTGTTCATTTCTCTGTGACTACAGAGAGTTCTGGCTACTTTAGCAAGATTTCCCTGAATTTGCTTCTTGATTTTTCTGTCCTACTTTTACTTCTTTATGCCTATGAGACAGCCAAGGTATTTGAAATTATTTAAAAATAAAATGTGACCAGAGAAAAAGATGAGTTGCTGTGTTAATCAGGCTAGGAATTGGAGTATACGGAATGTCTTTTGCAGCCAAAGGTGCCAGAGGCTTCAAATTCCTTTTTTGTCCTTGTGTTTTGATTGCACTTTTGTCTTTGAACTACTCCAAGTACCCTTCATGGAATAAAATCTGTATTTTGCAAATTTTCAGTTGCGATCCACTGTTCTTATGCTGGAGTCCAGGCAATCAGTTAGTAAGAAATGGTGGAGGAGAAGCATTCTCTAATTATACTTCTAAAACTCAATCTTTAGTGGACAGGTGTTGCTGAAATGTCACCTTCAACAAGGTTTCTAAGATTTCCCCTTTAAGAAACACAGGAGAGTCTCTCTAGGGTGGAGTAGATAGCCTGGGGTGACAGGCTTCTAGCTTGAGAGCGGAGATATTTGCTCACTGAAACAGAGGACCAATGAATCTACAGGTGAATTTGTAGAGGAAATTCCATGGGGCCTACACCTGAAGGGGGGGAGGGGAGCAAACATTGTTTAAAAATGAACAATGATATAAAATACAAATAAATAAACAAACAAACAAATAGAAACAGCTTGCTACTCAGTGAAGAATAGTTCTGGGTGAAAAAGAGTTGTTTTAATTAATCTCTTGGTAGGGCTCTAGGTTTACAAGACAAGTTTTCTAGATATCCACAGTGTGAGGACAGTGGTTTTTTCCCTTGGACCTTGTGTGTAGGGATCAGAGGTTGCCAAACCCCAGAAATAAGAAAGAATCAGACTCTTAAGACAAAAGGTTAGAGAAAAAGCCTCTTTTTGAAGCAGACCCTGTAAGTTTGTCCCATTCTCCTTCCAATTCAAAGTGTAGACACTTGTCTTATTTTTTTCATTAATTTATTTTTATATATATTTTACATCATTGATCATTTTGTGGTGAAGAGAGGACAGTCTTCTTTTAGATTCAGAGTGTGGGAGTGGTCTACCTCCTCCTTGCCTCACATTCACTGCAGGACTCCTCTCTCTTTTTCTATAAACAGCCTTCAGGACCAGAGCTCACTTGCTTCCCCCTGCTTTATTATTACTAAAGATTGTGGGAACAGACTTCAAGAAAGGCTATTGGGTTGAAAGACAGTGTGTTGGTGGCTCAATAGTACAAGGCTTATTCCTTCTGATTCTGAGGTCAGTGGTGTCTGACTGTGGTCTCACTACTGGTTAGCTGCTTGTTGATTCCAGCCAAATTATCTTAGTTGCTCATTTGGAAGTATTTCATTTATTTCTCCTATGAAATACCATGATTATTGTGTCCCTTTCTTGGATGAAAATGCCAAGTTTAGGGAGATAAGTGACATGGTTATTTAGGCAGGAGAACTCAGGACAATTAAATGGTCAGAAAAATAAGCAGTAAGAATATTCACCTATTAGCTATAAAATTAAAAATTAATAAAGTAAGTTAGGTCCATAGGTACTTTTTAAAGAACTTTTAAAAAGAAACTGTAAAATTTGTTAACAATTAATTTATGCCTCTTAAGGTATATTATAACTTTTGTACTTTTGTAAGTTCTATAAAGAATTTTTTTAAAATATAAGGTATCTCAGCAAGAAAGAGCAAGTATTTATTTAAACCTTGCTAATTGTTTCGTAATGTGTATACTAATATTATGACTCAAATGATGTATTATTTTTAGTTTGTACTAGTATGAAAAATTATATAAATTATAAATTTATAACAAGTTGATCAACTGCATATTTTTAGACTATTAACTGACATAAATTACATCAAAAATTATTCTTTACCACAAATGAGTTCTTTTAATTTTAAAATTGAAAGATGATAAATAGGTTTTTAAAATATCTGAAGTTACTTAGAGAGGCTGTAAATTTGTTTTTCCATTATGCATCTGACTTTATATTCCCACAACAGAAATACATGGGGTCAAAAATTATATTAGATATTGCTTTAGCCCTGAATAATTTGGGTACTGCAAGTAGCAGGAATTTCTTATGGCTGCTGTGCAGGAATCCATGAATAATTTTTGGTGCGACTGAAAAGAACAAGAGAACAAACCAGAACTAACTGTCAGGTAACACCATTTTCCACACACTGCACCTCTGTATCAACTCTCAGTTTGTAGATGTGTCTAAACCAGACTGGGTCTCATTCGTACAGTAACTTCTTTCCTTTGGCAGCTTAGAACAGGAACTTTAGTGGTTTGACTGACCTCTGAGGCCACTGACCCAAGGTACAACCAGAGACGAGACATGTGTGAGTGTTGAGTAAAAGGGGTCTTAATTGGAAAAGGAAATGAAAAGCCAGGACCAATCATTATTGCACAATTTTCAAAGTTTTAATCAGACAATTTAAGGGAGCTAAAAATTTCCCATTTTCCCTGAATGCAGCTTTAGTGTCTTGGTTTCCTGATTATTGTTATTTTTTTTATCTTAAGTAAGTTGTCTTTATTTATTTTAATGACTATAAATTTTAGGAAATTCCTACTCTGTTTATTTTAAATAGTATTGCCTAATGCATTCTATGAACAAGGACAACATAAGAAAAAATACTCTCAAATAGTCATAAAGAATGATACTACTATTAAGCCAGTGTTTTCTTTTTTTTTTGTATTTTTTTTTATTTTTATAAATTTTATTTTTATATTCCCCATACAATTACAACACCCTTATTTTGACCCCAATCCCTCCCCTCCCCACCCTCCACCCCCCATAGAGTGTCTCTGGTTCATAGTTGTTTGTTGATTTTGATTTTCACTTTCTTATAGTTATTCATTTTCCTGGACCCTTATTTAAGTTTTCTAGATTCCTGCTATGAGGGAGACCATCCGGTATTTTTCTTTTTCTTTCTGGCTTATTTCACTGAGCATGATCCCTTCCAGCGCCATCCATGTTGCTGCAAATTGCATGTGTTTATCTTTTTTGAATGCTGAGTAATATTCCATGGTGTATATGTACCACATCTTCTTGATCCAGTCATCTATTTTGGGGCATTTGGGTTGTTTCCAAAGCTTAGCTATTGTAAACAGTGCTGCTATAAACATAGGGATGCAGGTGCTCTTTGGATTTATGTTTCTGTGTCCTTTGGGTAAATACCTAGGAGTGGAATTGCTGGATCATATGGAAGCTCTATGTATAGTAGGTCAAGAAATCTCCACACAGGTCTCCATAGTGGTTGGACCAGTTTGCACTCCCACCAGCAGTGCAGGAGAGTTCCTTTTGCTCCACAACCTCGCCAACATTTGTTGTTGCTAGTTTTTTTAATATGTGCCATTCTCACTGGTGTAAGATGGTATCTCATGGTAGTTTTGATTTGCATTTCCCTGATTACAAGTGATGTTGAACATTTTTTCATATGCCTGTTGGCCATTTGCATTTCCTCTT